ACTCGCACACTCACAGACTCGCACGCAGTGACTGGCACACTCACAGACTCACACACTCAGACTCGCACACTCAGACTCGCACACGCAGAGACTCACACGCAGACTCGCCACACACAGACTCCCACATTCACAGTCTCATGTGCGTGTGAGTGAGCAGGTGATTGAGCTGCAAACTCACAACACGCAGGCTCATGCAGAGACTCACACACTCACAGACTCGCACACTCACAGACTCGCACGCAGTGACTAGCAGACTCACAGACTCACACACTCAGAGACTCGCACACTCACAGACTCGCACGCAGTGACTCGCACACTCACACTCACAGACTCGCACACTCACAGACTCACACGCAGAGAATCGCACACTCACAGACTCACACGCAGAGACTCGCACACTCACAGACTCACACGCAGAGACTCGCACACTCACAGACTCGCACGCAGAGACTCACACACTCACACGCTGAGACTCGCACACTCACAGACTCACACGCAGAGACTCGCACGCAGTGACTCGCACACTCACAGACTCACACACTCATAGACTCGCACACGCAGAGACTCGCACACTCACAGACTCACGCACTCACAGACTCACACGCAGAGACTCGCACACTCACAGACTCACACTCACAGACTCGGACGCAGAGACTCGCACACAGAAACTCACACGCAGAGACTCGCACACTCACTGACTCACACGCAGAGACTCGCACACTCACAGACTCACACACTCGCACACTCACACACTCGCACACTCACAGACTCACACACTCACAGACTCACACGCAGAGACTCGCACACTCACAGACTCACACGCAGAGACTCGCACACTTACAGACTCACACGCAGAGACTCGCACGTAGAAACTCACACGCAGAGACTCGAACACTCACAGACTCACACGCAGAGACTCGCACACTCACAGACTCACACGCAGAGATTCGCACACTCACAGACTCATACGCAGAGACTCGCACACTCACAGACTCGCACGCAGTGACTGGCACACTCACAGACTCACACACTCAGACTCGCACACTCAGACTCGCACACGCAGAGACTCACACGCAGACTCGCCACACACAGACTCCCACATTCACAGTCTCATGTGCGTGTGAGTGAGCAGGTGATTGAGCTGCAAACTCACAACACGCAGGCTCATGCAGAGACTCACACACTCACAGACTCGCACACTCACAGACTCGCACGCAGTGACTAGCAGACTCACAGACTCACACACTCAGAGACTCGCACACTCACAGACTCGCACGCAGTGACTCGCACACTCACACTCACAGACTCGCACACTCACAGACTCACACACTCAGACTCACACGCACAGACTCGCACACTCACAGACTCACGCAGAGACTCGCACACTCACAGACTCGCACGCAGTGACTGGCACACTCACAGACTCACACACTCACAGACTCGCACACTCACACACTCGCACACTCACAGACTCACACACTCACAGACTCACACACTCACAGACTCGCACGCAGTGACTCGCACACTCACAGACTCACACACTCGCGCACTCACAGACTCACACACTCACCGACTCACACGAAGAGACTCGCACACTCAGACTCACACGCAGAGACTCGCACACTCACAGACTCACGCAGAGACTCGCACACTCACAGACTCGCACGCAGTGACTGGCACACTCACAGACTCACACACTCAGAGACTCGCACACTCACAGACTCGCACGCAGTGACTCGCACACTCACACTCACAGACTCGCACACTTACAGACTCACACACTCACAGACTCACACGCAGAGACTCGCACACTCACAGACTCGCACGCAGAGATTCACACACTCACACGCAGAGACTCGCACACTCACAGACTCACACGCAGTGACTCGCACACTCACAGACTCACACACTCACAGACTCGCACACTCACAGACTCACGCACTCACAGACTCACACGCAGAGACTCGCACACTCACAGACTCACACTCACAGACTCGCACGCAGAGACTCGCACGCAGAAACCCACACGCAGAGACTCACACGCAGAGACTCGCACACTCACAGACTCACACTCACAGACTCGCACACTCACAGACTCACGCACTCACAGACTCACACGCAGAGACTCGCACACTCACAGACTCACACTCACAGACTCACACGCAGAGACTCGCACGCAGAAACTCACACGCAGAGACTCGCACACTCACTGACTCACATGCAGAGACTCGCACACTCACAGACTCACACACTCAAACACTCACACACTCGCACAATCACAGACTCACACACTCACAGACTCACACGCAGAGACTCGCACACTCACAGACTCACACGCAGAGACTCGCACGCAGAAACTCACACGCAGAGACTCGCACACTCACAGACTCACACGCAGAGACTCGCACACTCACAGACTCACACGCAGAGATTCGCACATTCACAGACTCACATGCAGAGACTCACACACTCACAGACTCGCACGCAGTGACTGGCACACTCAGAGACTCACACACTCAGACTCACACACTCAGACTCGCACACGCAGAGACTCGCACACGCAGAGACTGGCACACTCACAGACTCACACTCACAGACTCACACACTCACAGACTCACACGCAGAGACTCGCACACTCACAGACTCACACGCAGAAACTCGCACGCAGAAACTCACACGCAGAGACTCGCAAACTCACAGACTCATGCACTCACAGACTCACACGCAGAGACTCGCACACTCACAGACTCACACTCACAAACTCGCACGCAGAGACTCGCACGCAGAAACTCACACGTAGAGACTCACATGCAGAGACTCGCACACTCACAGACTCACACGCAGAGACTCGCACACTCACAGACTCGCATGCGTGACTCGCACACTCTCAGACTCACACACTCACAGACTCGCACACGCAGAGACTCGCACACTCACAGACTCACGCACTCACAGACTCACACGCAGACACTCGCACACTCACAGACTCACACACTCACACACTCGCACACTCGCAGACTCGCACACTCACAGACTCACACACTCACAGACTTGCACGCAGAGACTCGCACACTCACAGACTCACACGCAGAGACTCGCACGCAGAAACTCACACGCAGAGACTCGCACACTCACAGACTCACACGCAGAGACTCGCACACTCAGACTCACATGCAGAGATTCGCACAATCACAGACTCGCACGCAGAGACTCGCACACTCAAAGACTCGCACGCAGTGACTGGCACACTCACAGACTCACACACTCAGACTCACACACTCAGACTCGCACACTCACAGACTCGCACGCAGTGACTGGCACACTCACAGACTCACACACTCAGAGACTCGCACACTCACAGACTCGCACGCAGTGACTCGCACACTCACAGACTCACACACTCACAGACTCGCACACGCAGAGACTCGCTCACTCACAGACTCACGCACTCACAGACTCACACGCAGAGACTCGCACACTCACAGACTCACACGCAGACTCGCCACACACAGACTCCCACATTCACAGTCTCATGTGCGTGTGAGTGAGCAGGTGATTGAGCTGCAAACTCACCACACGAAGGCTCATGCAGAGACTCACACACTCACAGACTCGCACACTCACAGACTCGCACGCAGTGACTGGCAGACTCACAGACTCACACACTCAGAGACTCGCACACTCACAGACTCGCACGCAGTGACTCGCACACTCACACTCACAGACTCACACACTCGCACACTCACAGACTCACACACTCACAGACTCACACGCAGAGACTCGCACACTCAGACTCACACGCAGAGACTCGCACACTCACAGACTCACGCAGAGACTCGCACACTCACAGACTCACACGCAGAGACTCGCACACTCACAGACTCGCACGCAGAGATTCACACACAGACTCACACTCACAGACTCGCACGCAGAGACTCGCACGCAGAAACTCACACGCAGAGACTCACACGCAGAGACTCGTACACTCACAGACTCACACTCACAGACTCGCACACGCAGAGACTCACACACTCACAGACTCACGCACTCACAGACTCACACGCAGAGACTCGCACACTCACAGACTCACACTCACAGACTCACACGCAGAGACTCGCATGCAGAAACTCACATGCAGAGACTCGCACACTCACTGACTCACATGCAGAGACTCGCACACTCACAGACTCACACACTCAAACACTCACACACTCGCACAATCACAGACTCACACACTCACAGACTCACACGCAGAGACTCGCACACTCACAGACTCGCACGCAGTGACTCACACACTCACAGACTCACACACTAACAGACTCACACTCTAAATGTGGAGTGAAATATACAAGCGTCAGGGTCGGGATCGAACCCACAACATTTCTGTATAGTAGGCGAGGTAGTTAACATCTTGCCACCGTGGCGCTAAATTCTTTGACTCACCCACTCAACTACTAAAGCCACCCACTAACCGACTCACAAACCCACTCACCCTGCCACGCACTCAATTTATAACCCACTCACTAAGCCACTCATCCTCGCACCTACCTGCACATGCACTCACTAACTCACTCACCCAACAACCCACCCATTAACTCACCCACCCACTCCCTGACCAACTCACGAACCAACCCACCCACTCACACTGTGACCTACTCCATATCTAACCCAACAACTCACTCACCCAGCCCCTCACCTACTAACCTAACCACCCACCAACTCACTCACCCACCTACGCACTCAAATACCCACTCACCCAACTGTAAACAATTTTTTTTTTACAAGGTAAGGCCCACAGAGCTGTACAGATCTTATTCAGAAGCAACGTGGCCACAAAAAACCCAGAGGTCTCGGAGAAAAATCCATGAACCACGAGGAGAACATGCAAACTCCAAATATACAGGCATCAAGATCGAGACCGAACCCACAACCTCCTGTACAAAAGGTAAGGTAGTTAACATCTCGCCACCATGGGGCTCCACTCTCTGACTCGCAGCCACCCACTCACCTACCCATTCAGCCACATACCCATTCAGCCACATACACACTAAAAGACCCATATCAGCATATAAGTGGTCTTGTATTCACTCAGTAAATGAAGTTTAATATAAAATTGTACACTCACAGGATCGAAATAAAGATGACATTGCACATCGGAGTAAACCGAGTCGCGGCTATGATAAAATTTTGCATTTGCATAACATTGATTTATTAGCATACAAAATGACTTTTTGCAGAGCGATTTAATACAAAAGTCTGATAGACTACAAAATAAAAGTACATACAAACCAGGCATCAACACCGTTGCTTTGTATGATCTGTGAAACGCAGAAAATTTCAGATAAAATCGGACATTTTGAGCTTGCTGCTGTATCGACTGAGTGGAATCAATACAATTAGTATCGATTCACAATCAACAAAGACCATATATGGGAAAATCTCTGATCGGTGATTTTGATTGCATAGTATTGCAGCGCCCCTTTGATGATGTTATAAAGCACTTGCCCCAACAGTCTGTTAAAGGCTACACGGGGATCTTTGTGTGCGAGTAGCTCACAGATCCTTGAGAGATCTGAACACTGTCCGATCATCAGCGAGCTCCTCCGGCAGGCGAGGCTGCGTTGGCGGTTGTCTGTGCATTCAGAGGTGTTAACTATCCCACGCAGAGAAGTCTGCTTACAGGACATAAGAGGTTCTTCACGTACCGTGCCCCGTGTCACCTGAATGTTAAATGGGGCTCCGGTAATTCAGTGTCCACCGCCGAATCATCTTTCACCATCACCACGCGTCCATTAAGGCCAATGTGACGAGGCCATAGATAGACAACGCGTTAAAACGGGGTGGGGAGGGGGGGGCAAGAAAAACGTCGTACTACGTGACATCACAACACCCTGCACGCAGCCATAGTGGCTGATTAGGGTGCGCATCATTTACGAATATGTGGTTTAAGTGGTTGAGAGTAGATTTTGGTGTAAATTGATCACGATGCTTTGCGCAGCCTGCATTTAAAATTTCATGCGTGGGTGCGTGAGCAGATATGAGTGGGTGAGTGCGTGAGTAAGCCGGTGAGTATGTGGGTGGATGGAGGGAGCTGGGCGGGCACGGCATGGGCTGGAGTGGAGGTGGACTGATGCGGTACGGGAGGATGTGGAGCTGAGTGGGCTTTGCCGACGACTGGTACCAGTGGTGTCGAGATCGGCCTCTGCAGGGAGGCTCGTGAAGGATGCTTCTACTTGGCAGTTGGCGACACTCGCCCTCCAACAACAACGGAGGAGTGACGCTCACAACAACGAGCAGAACACCGGATGATAAATATGCAGCAATTTGGCACAGTACGGGGTACAGGTGGTGCTGCCAGTCATCTCAGTCAGCCAACCCATGGCACCTGGGTCTGTTCCAGGACCTCCGGTCAGCGAGCCTTCGACACTTCACGTGGCTTCAAAGTGCACCTGGCCTGGCACAGTCGCTGTGGTGACGTCACTGTTACTTATTGGCGAATGGTGACGGTTGATAATGCAGCGGTGGTTGTGAGAGATGTCATTTTGGGGGGGGGGCGCCAACCCTGACCAGCTGTGAACCACCTCACGTCGCCCGCAGCCACCAGTGGCCACGGGGAGTTCTGGATGGGTGCGAGGGGCTGGTAGCGAGGGGGGAGGGGACATGGAAGGTGAGAATTATTTTATTATGCTTTATTTTTATTATTTTATTAATACCCTTCTACGTGACTTTACCGAAAGAACCAAGAAGATGAATCCCTGCAGTCACGAAAGCTTTAAATCGAGATGTAGAGGTGTTACATACTGGGGTGGAGCAAGCCATTACGTTGCGGTGTCTACATCACGGTCCGTGCGTGGGGTGTCTACATCAACGTCCGCATACAGCCCCGCCCCTCGGGGGGCAGTTGGCTATATAAGGCGGTGTGCGAGAGAGCTCGAGGCAGTCGTTGGAGCAGAAGAGCCGTTGGAGACTGAAAACCAGCTCGCAAGCCCTGGGACTACACTGAGTCGGTCTCCTGCAGGAGTGGAACCGAGCTGTGGGTGAGTGGTGGCTGTGTGAGTCTCTGTATGTGAGTCTCTCCGTGTGAGTCTGTGTGTGTGAGTCTGTCTGTGTGGAACAGTCATGGTGGGGGTATTGAGGGGGGGGCATGGGGGGTCTCGGGTGGGGGGCAGAGGAGGCATGGGGGGAGAAGCTCAGGTGGGGGGGAGGAGCTAATGGCTGTGACATCACGGGGGGGCGTGGTTAACTTGTACCGCCCCCGCGTCTCGCGCCACGTGCTTCCCACTGGCAGTTTGCCCGTTAGAGAGGCGCCGACAGACCCCAGAGCAGGTGAGGAGTTGAACGGAGCTGTGGGCGAGTGGTGGTGGTGGTGTTAGTCTCTCTATGTGAGTCTTGTGTGTGTGTGTGAGTCTCTCTGTGTGAGTCTGTGTGTGTGTGAGACTATCTGTGTGAGTCTGTGTGTGTGAGACTATCTGTGTGAGTCTGTGTGTGGAACGGTCGTGTAGCTGACAGCGCGCCGCGCTATTAACTGGGAGACCCCGAGGTGGATTCTCTCTCAAGGCCAACAGCAGTGACGATGATCTGAACCGGTGCTGGGCCTCCCCTAGGTCGACTCAACCTCGAATGAGTACCTGGTGCGGTGTGTAAAGGTCGCCACTAGGGAGACAAAGGCGGCCAGGCGTGGTGCTGGCAATCCAACCCCCTCGTGTGTAGTGCCAGCCTTCATACGTACTGCTGGCTAACAGCACTTTCCCCTACAGACTGTTAAGTCTCTATGGGGATCTTTATTTTTATTTCGATTTAAAGCTTTCGTGACTGCAGGGATTCATCTTCTTGGTTCTTTCGGTAAAGTCACGTAGAATGGAAATAATAAAATAATAAAAATAAAACATAATAAGATAATTCTCACAACGTTTCGGCCACAACGCAAGCAGCCGTCCTCAGGTGAAGACCAGGTCTGTCGGGGAGACAGCGTCTGAATGAAACACCACCACGCTTGGAGCGTATATTTTAGCTGGGTTGGAAGGGGGGAAGGGCGCCTTGACAAAATAATTTGCATATCAAGAGGAATTTAGCATATTTATGGGAAATGCAGGTATGTGATTAGTACCATTGTTGAAATGCGTAGGAAGTGGGCGGGGGGTTTCAAAGTCATATTATGCCCGTGCATTATGCAGGGTTAGCGATTAATTACGACTTTGTTAACGTCTAGCTTTTCAGTGTGTGGGTTCGGTCTCTTATTTGAGAGGCGGTTGAATTTGTAAATCAAGTTGTCCTTACATTTGGTCGACATAGCGGCAGCTGAAGAGGCAGTCATATTGTCTAAATGTTCCCAATCCGATGTGGAAATTGTTGCAGTCAAAGATAAGTGTGATTTGTAGAGTGTCTTGTCTAACTGATCTAGTTCGGTGCGCGTAAGTCTGATTTTCTCTGAGATAAGAGCTAAGCTAGTTCTAGACAGAATTCGTTTAGCATTAGAAGAAGTTACAGCAGCAGAGGTTAGTGTAAATGCGATTGGTATTACCTTAGAGTCGCGGCATCTCTTCAGAAAGGTGGGAGACTCGATTAGCTGAGCCTTCTTTGTCTTTGGTGTCCCATACTGGCAGGGGGAGGAGTGGTGGTGTTAATGTTGGTGGTAGTAGTGGGGGTGGTGCTTGTGATGGTGGTGGTGTTAGTTTTAGTGATGGTGGTGTTAGTGATTGTGGTTGTTATTAGTGGTGATAGTGGTGGTGTTACTGGTGTTAGTGATAGTGATGGTGGTGTTGGTGGTATTAGTGGTGGTGGTGTTAGTGAGGTGGCAGGATGCCCTGGTGGTCCCCATCTTTAAGAAGGGAGACCGCACAGACTGTAACAACTACAGGGGCATCTCACTCCTCGGTGTGCCGGGAAAGGTCCTGGCAAGGATTATTCAACACCGCCTTGCCAGGAATACTGAGGAAAGGCAGTTGTTGCTTTTTGTGTTTTTCGTATTATGGGTGACTGGTGAGGATGTGAGTCTGTGTTGATGATGAGAGTCCGCATTGTGAAGTGACGTGTGTTTAGACGTGGGCGTGTCACGCCCCTTCGACTCTGTGACCCTCGCCTCTGTCTCCCGCTCTCCACGCAGAGACCCGGACCGCGCGAGAGACACCGTGAGCTCTGAGCACCCTCGTCTGCAAGTTGCTACCATGGAGGTACATGTGGCTCCTCGACTTGTGTGGTGAAGTATGGGTGGACGTGTGTTCTCCCCTCTGCGTGTGCCTACCTGTGACCTGTATACCTGGATGTGCTTCTCCTTGCCCGCCTGAGTGTGTGTGCGTCTATCAGTGTCTCTCCGAGATCCTGTTGGTGTACATGCCCGTCTACGCGTGAGCATCTACAGCACTGTTATCTATCCACTGATGGATGAACGCCTCGCTCCCTGAGACCCTGCTACCCCTCACATCCTGTGATGGCATAATCCGCCAAGCGCCGGTTTCGTCGCACCATCTCTCTGGCCGCTCTCCTCTCTGATGTGTTCCGTTCCTTGGTTGTCGCTGTTATTATGCTTGACTGTCAGCCATTGTTGTCCATCCTGGCCATGGCTCGTCCTGCCCGAGTCCCACTCACTCCTCAAGCTCTAGTGGTGGACCTTTGTGTGTGTGTGTAGATCAGCCGAGCTGGAGAGGCTCGGAGTAACGGCGAGTCTTGCACCACGTGGAGTGCGCTGTCCTCAGCGCGCACCGCCTCCATCCGCAGCAAGTCGCCACAAGGTAAGAACAGAAATGAGTGACGTCAAGATGGCCACACTGAATGGTGGGACATCACGACGGTCATGTTTCAAGGGGGACGTGACAGTGACCATGATGCATGGGGGACTTCATGGTGGCCATGTTGCATGGGTGATGTACCGTTCGACTTTTGCCGTTCTCTGGTCTCACACCGGCGAGACAAGGCCATAAAGAAGGCTGTCTCTGGTGCAGGCCAGTCAATTTCAAAGACAATGCATATATTATCGGAGCATGTTTGTTTGCATATTTTTCCACAAGTACGTGTGGTAAATGCAGACGTGATGCCTTGCAAAAGGTATCTATTTGGTGTTTGAACATATTAACACCTGTTTTTGTGCCAGGAAGGGTAAAAGCTATTCTTATTTCATAAAATCCTTGGCATATCTGTGTTATATTTATCTAATTCATTAACCCCGTTGTCAAATCCAAGCAACCTAAGACGTCATCAAAGCTGCATATAGCTGGACATCGAACGAAGATGGTCACTGCATCGCACGTTTTCAGATGTGCTTCTGCAGTCATCTGGAATGCTCTTCCGACATTAGGAAGCCACTGGAGCGATGCTCTTTTAAATCTATAATTTTTGCGAACTTTTTAGTTTATTGTCCTTCCCCCTCACTTCTGATTAGCAGGGTTGCCGAAGCATGGTGCAAAATAAGTTCAACATACAGACATAACTGGAATTGGCCAAAACATCCAAGTCCCCTGCAAACTCCTCAAATTGGGATCACACAGCAGACGTAATGGCAGCAGCGTCACCCCCATTCTCTGTAAATCATCTGCAGGAACCTCCTGAAAAGGAATCAAAACAAATGATCACCGACAGCTGTTGTTGTTATTCTCTTGCCTGCAGCAATCCTGGCTCTCTTTGGCCCTCAGGAAGTATGGTACTCTGCGCTCCGCAACAGATCCCGGGGACCAAATAACGATGGATACGACGACCACGAACATCATTACATTCCGGTGAGACTCGCCACAAAGCCCCCGCCGTGGGGGCGGTCACAGGCGCAGCGGTCGCGAGGTTCGTGGCTTCTTGTCATTGCACCTGAAGTACCAACCAACCAGAGACAGCACAGATGCACTCTCCCACACACTTCACAATCAAGTTTATTTCCCAAGTTAAGCCCATTGAGCTAATGAGCTTTTTTAAGGGTGTCACAGCCAGCAGACAGAGCATTCCACAATTACAGATTTAAGAAAACCAAACACTTAATAAAACAATTATTTCGTAAAATAATGCTCACACTTCTTACATGTTGTGATTTTCAAAATATAGTCAGTCTAAATGATTGTAATTTGGTGCAGGTCCAGCATGAGCACCTCCACTACCGCTATGAGGTGCTGAAGAAGATTGGGGAAAGAGGTCAAGGCCAGGTGATCCGGTGCCTTGACCACATGAGGAACACCCTGGTGGCCGTAAAGATCTTGGTATCACCATTGAGGTAAGAATTCAGAGCGGTCTTGTCACAAGGACGACGTTGTTGTTCAGTCCTTTGCTGTGGGCGGCCGTGTGATGAGGTGGTGACAACTCGTGCCTCACAGAGGGTCCCCGGTTCGACTCCTGACTCGGGTGCCCTCCTGTGTGGAGTTTGTATGTTCTCCCCCTGTTCTGGATCAGTTCACTCTTACATTACATTAATTCTTCATTTCACCTGGGAGATGCATTCCTGAAAAGTGCCGCGTTAAGGGAAAGCACATTAAGCAAACATAATATCCCCATATATAATGTAACGATAAAGTTTTGCAAGATATAATACACGCACACAGTGATATGAAGAGACCAATAATGGAGGGTATGCTGTCACGTCACGTTATAATTCCGCATTCCGCCTACTGTATCATACCGCTCAGCCGTGCAGTTTCATAGCGGGCACATTCCACGTTATAATAGGCGCTTTCCTACATTAGAACAGATGCATTCCGGATTATAATGGGTGCGGTCCGCGTTATAACGGGAGCCTTCCACGTTATAATGGGCACGTTCCACGCTATAAAAGGCACGTTCCACGCAATAAAAGGCACGTTCCACGCAATAAAAGGCACGTTCCACGCTTTAATGAGGTTGTCCCATGTCACAACGGGCGCGTTCATGGGACCTCCTTTGCCAGTACCAAAGATATACTGGCAAAGGAGGTCCCATGATGTAGCTGCTCACCCCGAGCTCTCATTCCTCTGATAGTGCTTGTCTCTGTGCTGTACGCCTTTTGGCGTCCTCTGGTTTAACACCGTTTTGTGACTAGACTCAACAGAAAGCTGTCTGGTGTGGACCAATCAGTTTAAAAGACAATGCATATATTATCAGAGTATGTTTTTTGTTTGCATACTGACCACAAGTATTGTGGTTAATTCAGACATGATTTCTTGTAAAAGGTTTCAGTTTTTTGTTACATCTTAACACCTGTTTTGTTGCCAGGAAAAAGGGGAAAAATCTATTCTCATATTTTGGTATTGGCAAAGGAGGTCCCATGATGTTCCACGTTATAATGCCTTGCTTTGTGAGAGCCACATTCAGTCACGAATCAGCTATGGCTCAGTCTCTAAAACTCAGGCTCAGCTCCAGCTCAGCCGTGGTTTGGCTCAGGCTTGAGCCACTCAGCTGCTGATAAAGATACACGAGTGGCTCAGCAGTGGCTTGGCTCAGCTCCTGGAAATCCTGAGTGTGGCTGGGGCCATGCTCGGAGTCGGCTCAATTCACACATTAGGGAATCACTACGTTAAGTCAGCACCCCAAACCCCCTCTATCCCTTGCTTATTTTATCCTCTTCCCTATCCTTTCTGGAACCTTCCATGAGCGCGCTACTGGAACTTACAATGACATTACACTTGGGGAAGGTATAATTATTTAATTCTGAATATAATTGTTTCTGGTCATTTCTTAAGCAAGTCTAAGTCATGATTCATTTGTGGATTTTCTCTGCACAGCTCCAAGCGTGATAAATCTCAGAGAATGGAGATGAAGATGGCTCTGGAACTTCAGGGCAAGGGCAGTGATGAGGACTACAACGTCGTCAAAGTCCTGAACCATTTTGACTTCAGAGGACACCACTGCATTGACCTGGAGCTGTTGAAGTACGTACCATGTGTTCCCACCGCCCCCCCCCCCCCCTGGCGTGGTTAACTTTATTAGCTAAACAAAAACTATTTTATTTAGCAGGTAAAGCCCACTGCTCTATTAGTTATTTTTCACAAGCGGCCTGGCTACAAATGATAGCTCAAAAAAGTGGCTGATGTGGAAATGTATGGCAGCCAAACACTCTAAACACGTGTTTCTAAATGTGGAGAGAAAAACCAGAGGACCCGGAGAAAAATCCACGTGACCAGGGGGAGAACATGCAAACTCAGAATATACATGCGTCAGGGTCAGGATCAAAGCCCCGATCTCTTCCACACCAGGGGGGGTGATAACATCACACCACCGGGGCTAAATGTTACTTTTGGGATTCCCGTGCCAACCTCGCATTGCGATACTGTGGAGCTGGCATGTGCCCTAGGTGCACTAGAGGCCACTCCTCTTTTCTCAATCAGTGCCGCCCACTTTTATATAGCCACGCCTCCACTCGATCAGCAGGTTGGCTGCAGCGCAGTGGTGACGCTTGTGCCCCTCGGTGAAAATCCCTGAGTTTGATTCTCAACACGGACGCCTTTCTGCGTGGAGTTTGTATCTCCTAATAGATAACTCCACCACCCGGAAACAGAGCCAATGAAAGCAAGTGGTCAGATGTGCTAGCTGATTCGGTTTATCAGCAAACCAATGACCTAAACCCACTATGACTCATATTAGTCGTGAATGTGCAAATAGAATATTAATATTGTCGTTATCATAATCCACGCAGTATTGCAGGGTATGACACTGACACTGTGTCGTTGTTGTAATTGTTGTTGCTTCTGCCTCTTTCACAGGGAGAGCCTCCATGATGTGATTAAGGAAGCGGGGCTCCGGCAATTGCACATGGGGATGGTGAAAACTTACACCAGGGGCATCCTCAAGTTCCTTTGCCACACCAAGGCCAGGAGCATCATCCATGCGGACATTAAGCCAGTGAGTGGACACAGCATTCAGCGCGACTTTGTTCCGGAGTTGTGTCATTATTGGGGACTCGGACCATAGAGAAAACCGCCCACGTTGGTCACAGGGTCGATGTGTTAGCTCTGTCCGTCTATCTGGAAGGAGACAGGGTCACGTTACCTCTGGTGATGATCCGGTATGAATTAAACTGTCGTGTAGAGTCGTGTCGCTATTGGGGGACTCGCCACAGAGAAAACCAGCAATGTAGATCACAGCGTTGCCACGAACTTTGGCAAACACAAACCGGAGCTGAAAAGAATGATTTTCAAAACGTGCCAAACACGCGTTTGAACTGACAGGTGCCCATTGTCGGCTTCCATGCTGTGAATGGAAAACTTCCCAAATCGTCACTAAATCCGTGCGCCCTCGAGTGTGGTTTTTGGTTCGTAACTCGTTAACGGGCAGCTGTGAGCAACTAGGATAAGTTGTCTATAGAGCCGCACCCTCTTACTTAGATGGTGCTTCAGAGAGCTTTACATGTGATGAGCCTCGACGAACATGGCTCGTCTTGACGCATTTGAAAGGGGCACCCCCAGTGGCAGCTGTCAGAAAACAGGGAATGTTGCACTTGACTAAAGGTTGACGACGGCGCTACGCCTCACCTAGTTCCCCTGTTTAGTATGTACTGTGGTACGTGATTGATCCACTGCTGGCTGAATGCTATTGGCGTAACCTTCGAGTGTGAATTCCTTCTGCCTCTCTTGCTTTAGGAAAATGTTCTAATCAAGGACACCGTGACCGGCACCATCAGGGTCACGGACTTTGGCACCAGCTTTTTTGTGAAACGTCAACGTGAGTAACCTCACCTGGGTGTGAGTTTCTGCGTGTGGGTGTGTCTGTGTACCAGTGTGTGTGCAAGTCTCTTAGTGTCTGTACATGTGACAGTGTGTGATAACGATGCTGTTCATGACATAGTGAGTACACACATACATATTTGTTGTTGTGATTGTTGTGCAGCTCTGCATGTTGGTGGGACCCTGCCATTCCAATCTCCGGAGGTATTGCTGGGCTACAGATTGACCTGTGCAGTGGACATGTGGGCACTGGGCTGCACGGTGGCGGAGTTGGTGACCGGCAGGGAATTATTCCAGTCGGACAGCCGCGACGACCACCTCCCGTGCTGCATGGAGGTATTTCCAACTGGGCGTTCACCCAGTTGTAGGCTCTGGGGGGGGGGGGGGGGAGGAGAGGGGGGGGGCGATTGGGTACTTAGTGACCTGGCGAATGGCAGCCATCGTATGTTGTATGTGTGTACACGTGTATCTTGTACGTGTGGGGGAAGCAGTGGTGCAGCGGTTCACGTGCTCAGCTACAAACTCGGTAATGCGAGTTTGATTCCAAATCACGGCCAACATCAGTGAGGATTATCTGAACCGGTACTGGGCATCCCAGAGTTCGACTCAGCCTCAAATGAGTACCTGGTGCGGTGTACCTGCTTCAATATGGCCAACCATCCCCTCTCTGTGTGTGCCACAGTCCTGGCCCTCAACAGGTGCCGCTACTGTTGATGCTGTTTCTACTCACTACTATAAGCACTTGCCCCTAGTCTGCTGCAGCTACATGGGTGACCTTTGCCTTTATCTCAACCATGTGCAGATCCTTGGGTTGCCTCCAAGATGTATGATGGATGCAACTCCTGACGGAATACACTACTTTGGTGAGTTGACGGGTGGGGCGAGCAACCGACCGGATTCAGTGTTAGGGTGTGGCCTGGAGCTGTTGGGGTGGCCATTGGGGGGGGGCTCTTTGTATTTTCAATTCCTTGGGTGAGTGGGTGGGTGGGTAAATTGGTGTGTGGGAGAGTGGGTGGGTGGGTAAGTGGGCAAAGTGGTGGTTGGTGACTGTGTCTCTCCTGCTGTGCATGTCTCCTGCAAATCGTGTGGGCATGATGTTCTGCCCAGTCAAGAGAAGGGTGCCAGGGAGCTTGTCACTTCACGGGGCACTCAATAGCCAAGACCTGGAGTTTGTTGAATTCGTCAGCTCCTGCCTGCGGTAAGAATCATCCCCCTCCCCCCTCCCCATGAGGAATTTCCCCCACCAAGGTGATCAACGATCGCTCTCATCCGATCACCAGGAAGATTTGGAGCTGAGTGAATCTGCCGATGACCAGTACCACCGGTGTTAAGATCGCCCTCTTTGGAGGTTCATTAAAGATTCTACTCGGCAGTGCGAGGCTCAGGGCATTTTTAGAGTACTGCGTATTGAAGGATTGCCGCTGCCGTGCATTCCTGGACCTCGTGGGAGAAGGGAAGGAACATCAATGCTCTCACCACGCCTCTCTCACCATGTGCGCCGCGTGTGACCCCCGTGTGTCTCTCAACAGATAAGATCCGGATTGTCGCATGACGCCAGCGCAGGCGCTGGGTCACAGCTGGCTCCGGACCGCGGCCACCAGCACTACCAGCAACGCCACCACCACTGCTACTCCTGGCAGTGTACAGTGTTTTGGAGCTGCTGAGCGACGGTAAGCCACAATCTGCTTGTCAAATGTTCAAGACAGTCCATAGGGAGGTGTGGAGCCCGGGGCAAGTCACAATTAAACCGGAAGTATTACTAATAATACAGGTTTGTTTCGGTTAGATCGCGTAGATATACGTGTGTTGTTAACCCCACCATCACCCAACACAGCCAATTAGTAAGGTGTATCATGTAAACAAAATGTGACAATTAGTTACTAGATCAGCACACCAGTGTGTTGGAAAGTAAACCCACCACTTTTACAATTCGAGTACGACATTTTGCCAGGGATTGCAACCAGCCTCATAAGGTGACGGCCAGAATTATGGAGAAATACTCCCGTTTCGGTCTTAAATAGTGATAAATGTGATGTCATCATTTGTGAGCCAATCTGGTACGAAAGCCTACGTGTTAAAAAGACATTACGTCTGACACCGTGACATCGAAGCACAGGGCCGCCAGAAGCACGCTGCCCGGGGCGGTTTCCCCAGTACACCGTACCCGGCTCTATATTGATTACTACTACCCTTATTTAGCTAGCATGAGCCTCACTCAGTCTCAAGACTCTTTTTAATTAGAGTCCTGCCAAGTTGTTTGCAGTACAGAACAAATGTGCTTTTGCTACTGCTGCTATGCGATTCCTATTGAGTGATTTGGGGGTTCAATTTCTAACACTGCCGAGGATGTCCATCCAACACTGGTTGTGTGGCGTGTCAGGGTTCGGTTACGTGGAGGAAAATGCCAAACCCCAAGGAATGAAAGTTACATTTTAATGTACAATTTTATTGAGGGACTGTGTGTTGTGGTGAGGTCTGGGGCTGTTTTTGTTGATGTTTTGCTGCCTTGCCCAAGTTTGTATTTAGTGTTAAAAAACTGGCAGGATTTTACATACTTTGTGCTTATATGCTCAATTATTTTGTGACTTGCTTACATTTTTACACGTTGCACTCATTTTCTTTTGTTTGTTGTTGTAACTTGCTGACCCTGTGCCTCGACTGCATATCTGTGAAAGAAGAGCTTCATAGCTTATCGGATTCCTCTTCATCCAGTCTAAATAATTTATTCTGATTTTGGAAACCAATGCAGGATAAAACGGGGGGGGGGGGGTAGAACACACTCCACATTCCACACGGAGAAAGTGGCCCAAGTTTGGGCATCAAACCCAGGTCCCTCTGACTGAGTTCCAGCCCTGCTGCCTGCAAACGAACACATGTACAGTTCAAACCCCACGTGTACATTCGGTTATATACGGATGTATTTTTATAATTGGTTTCTGGGTGAGGACAAATAATGAAGCAGCCATATCTTGCCATGTAGCCTTTCATCCAGTGTGATATCGCAAGACTAATGCCCATTTTGTAACCAGACCCACGATGGGCAAAGGTATGCTGTGTTACTGCAGCATCGTTATTAACCTGGTTAATCTATTTCCGCACGATGGTGGGGGGGGGGGGGGGGGGAGTGCAATCTCTGTTGTAGCAGGAAGTTGAAACGGTGTCGTGCGCATCTCTTAACAGAGCGGAGCCGGCGCTGCCCCCATCCTCCACGCTCGCCCAGGCCTCTAAATGGCTGACGGTTGTTGTGGAGGAAGAGGAGACTCCGGTGGAGGAGCTGGTGGTGCAGGAGGAGGAGACCCTGGTGGAGGAGCTGGTGGTGCAGGAGGAGGAGGAGACCCTGGTGGAGGAGCTGTTGGTGCAGGAGGAGGAGACCCTGGTGGAGGAGCTGGTGGTGCAGGAGGAGGAGGAGACCCTGGTGGAGGAGCTGTTGGTGCAGGAGGAGGAGACCCTGGTGGAGGAGCTGGTGGTGCAGGAGGAGGAGGAGACCCTGGTGGAGGAGCTGGTGGTGCAGGAGGAGGAGACCCTGGTGGAGGAGCTGCTGGTGCAGGAGGAGGAGACCCTGGTGGAGGAGCTGGTGGTGCAGGAGGAGGAGACCCTGGTGGAGGAGCTGGTGGTGCAGGAGGAGGAGACCCTGGTGGAAGAGCTGGTGGTGCAGGAAGAAGAGGAGATGAGGGGGGAGACAGAGGAGGTATGGACGAAGGAGCAGGAGATGGTGGTGGAGGTGGAGGAGACATTGGTGGAGAAGATGGTGGAGAAGGAGATGACAAGGAAAGAGGATCAGGTGATGCAAGAGGAGAAGAGGAAGCCAGGGAGTCTGGCCCGCATAGGGAGAACCATCCGTTCACTCCTCCGACGCGTGCTGCTGTGTGGTGGCCGGTCCACCACACAGTAGAGGTGGTGGTGGTGGTCACGGATCGTTGTGAACCACGACCACTATCACCATACCCACCACACACACCCTGCACCCATTCACCCCCCTGTGATACCCACCACCCACCGCACACCACACACCACACACACCACACACACCCTGCACCCGCCCACCCCATGATCCCACCACATTCCACACAAAGGGTTTAGAGGGTTAGGGATTTATAAAGTTAGGGATTTATAAAGTTAAGGGTTTAGAGGTTTCGGGTTATTTCAGGGTTAAGGGGTTTAGATGTTTCGGGATTTCGAGGGTTATAGGGTTTAGGGGTTGAGAGTGTCAGGGGTTGAGGGGATTCGAGAGTTAGGGGTTTAGAGGGTTAGGGTTTTCAGGGTAAAGGGGTTTAGAGGGTTAGGTGTTTAGAGGATTAGGCTATTTGGGGTATAGGGGTTTAAAGGGCGAAGGGTTTAGAGGTTTAGGCTTTTAGAGGGTTAGGGTTTTCAGGGTACAGGGGTTTAAGGGTAAAGGGGTTCAGAGGGTTAGGGGTTTATAGGGTTTTGGGTTTACAGTGAGGGAAAAAAATATTTGATCCCCTGCTGATTTTGTACGTTTGCCCACTGACAAAGAAATGATCAGTCTATAATTTTAATGGTAGGTTCATTTGAACAGTGAAAGACAGAATAACAACAACAAAATCTTGAAAAACGCATGTCAAAAATGTTATAACTTGATTTGCATTTTAATGAGGGAAATAAGTATTTGACCCCTCTGCAAAACATGACTTAGTACTTGGTGGCAAATCCTTGTTGGCAATCACAGAGGTCAGACGTTTCTTGTAGTTGGCCACCAGGTTTGCACACATCTCAGGAGGGATTTTGTCCCACTCCTCTTTGCAGATATTCTCCAAGTCTTCTTTAGTTCTTGCGGTAAAGTCACGTAGAAGGAAAGTATTAAAATAATAAAAATAAAACATAATAAAACAATTCTCAGGACGTTTCGGCCACAACGCAAGCAGCCGTCCTCAGGTGAAAACCAGGTCTGTCGAGGAGACAGCGTCTGAATGAAACAGCACACGTGCTTGGAGCATATATATAAGCTGGGTTGGAAGGGGGGAAAAGGGCGCCTTGACAAAAGAATATGCATATCAAGAGGAATTTAGCATATTTATGGGAAATGCAGGTATGTGATTAGTACTACTTATGACCGTGCATTATGCAGGATTAGCAGCATCAAAGGGAAGGGATATGGGAAATGCAGGTATGTGATTAGTACTACTTATGCCCGTGCATTATGCAGGATTAGCAGCATCAAATGGAGGGGATATGGGAAATGCAGGTATGTGAATAGTTCTACTTATGTCCGTGCATTATGCAGGATTAGCAGCATCAAAGGGAGGGGATAGGGGTAGCATTAATAAAGGGAAGGAGTGTTAATAGTATGTAGCTGCAGTAACTAAAACCACCACGTAAACAACTAAAGTATAAACTACATAGTATCATCAGTATACTAAATATACTCTACAATAAGCTGAGTTACGAACAGTAAGTAATACATTACAATTCTACGTCGTAAAAAATATATAATATGCTTCCATCTAAACTTTATTCTCTTACATCACACGAGTCTACACCGTACTATATACTGCCATAGACAAACCCAACATTAAATTACATACTGTATTGCCTTATACATTGTAATATTACACTATGTATTATTCTACCCACCCTAATGTATATCACACTGCTGTATATTGACTATACAATTACGATACTATATTATTACTTTGTACATTGTATTAAGCATATAAATGTTATATTATTTGTTATTATACACTGTACCATTGACCGTCGTGTGAAAGATACTAAGAGGAAGCAACGAAATATGTCAATGGGTGAGTAGTGAGGGGGAAACTTGCAGCGGAGCAAAGAATTCATTCCCTGCGGAGAATACAATGCCAGTGAGTGGAACGCGGTCTGAAAGTCACCGTAAACGTGAACACAATCAGTTAAGATCCGAAATGGTTTACGTCCTTCCAATGATTGCTAAGCCAGAATCCATCTTCTCGGTTGAAATTGTCTCTGTATTTGTATATGTGGATCGCCTCATGAACGAATCTCTCATGGTAGCCAGATGGCTTGCAGAGAACCTCTGTCTTGGAGAAGTCAATATCATGTGAGCCCACTGAATTGTAACAGTAATCTGCCACGGCTGAGGTGTTTGTCCTACCGTGTTTTAAGTCTGCTTTATGTTCACGGATGCGGTCCGAGACATGTCGTTTGGTTTCTCCAATGTAACTGCTACCACAGAGGCAACTTAGTTTGTAGACGCCAGGGTACTGTATGTCTGGAACCACATCTTTTACAGACGGGACCAGATCACGGATTTTATGTACTGTGTTGAATCGGACCTGAATCTTGTGTTTTATCAGGATTTTGGAGACCTTTTTTGTGACCCCAGCAATGTAGGGTAAGGTGATGGTCTTGAAAGGCTCCTCAACAGGATCCTTCCTGATGGTTGGAGTGATGGCTTTGTGGATTGTGTAGTCGGAGTAACCATTAGCCTTAAGAGCTTGGCGTACGTGTTTGAGTTCACTGGCAATGTGTTCCTGGTCGGATATGCATTGGGCTCTATGGTATAGAGTCTTGATGAGGGAATTCTTCTGGGATGGATGGTGGTGGGAATCCGGTTTTAGGTAAGCATCCGTATGGTTGACTTTCCTGTAGACAGAGTGGCTCATTGAACCATCAGGTCTCCTTTTAATTAGGACATCCAAAAAGGGTAGCTTGCCATCTTTTTCGACTTCCATGATGAATCTGATGGCTGGGTGTATGGAATTGATGTGGTCGAGAAATTGGTCTAGTGCAGGCCGGCCATGTGGCCAGATGACAAAAGTCTCATCTACGTACCTCGTCCATAAGGTCGGGCGTCGAGTGGCAGTCTGGATGGCGTCAGTCTCAAATTTCTCCATGAACACGTTGGCTACAACCGGAGATAGGGGGGGGCCCATTGGGGTGCCCTCAGTTTGCTTGTAGAAAGTTCCATTCCAGGTGAAGTATGTATTGGTTAAGCAGTGTCTCACCAGGGGGGGGGGGGTACCCCAGCGTTCAGTCCTTGATGAACCAAGTCTTCAATGATTGCGAGGAACTTTGGTGAATAAGAAAACCACATCAAAACTGACAAGCAGGTCGTCTGGGGACAGGGAAATCCCCTTGATTGTCGATACCAGGTCAGTAGAGTTTAGTACCGCAGAGATGGTTTTTCCAGTGAAAGGCCGTAGGATTTCAGACAAAAAACGAGCCAGTTTGTAGGTGGGGGAATTGATAGTAGAGACAATGGGACGAAGAGGTGTATCTTCTTTATGTATCTTTGGCAAGCCATATAATCTTGGTGGCCTGGCTGCAGAAGGTTTCAACGAGAACTGTTTGGTCTGATCAATTAATGCGGTTGAAGCAGAAATGATTTTGTTGGTTTTAGAGACGAGGCTGTTGGTGGGGTCTCTTTTTATTTTTGTATAGCTGCCATCGTTGAGTAGTTCTTGAATTTTGTTGTATTCTATTTTGTCCATGATGACAGTGGCATTGCCTTTGTCGGCTGAGAGGATGACAATGTCATCCCTCTTTTTTATTTGAGCTAATTCAAACGCTCATCTTTGCTGATGTTGCTAGCTGGCATCTTAGCGTTTTTGAGGGTTGCAGAGATTTCAGATCTTGCTACGTCTGCAGCGATGTGACTCAGGCCCTTGAGAGCTACATCTACTCTAGCAATTATATCATTAACTGGTATGTGTCTAGGTGTGACTGCAAAGTTTAGTCCTTTAGCTAAAACGGATTTCAGACCTTCAGAAATAGTACTGTTATTGCGATTAATTACGACTTTATTATCGTCTAGCTTTTCAATGTGTGGGTCCGGTCTCTTTGAGAGGCGGTTGAATTTGGAAATCAAGTTGTCCTTACATTTGGTCGACATAGCGGCAGCTGAAGAGGCAGTCATTTTGTCTACATGTTCCCAATCCGATGTGGACATTGTTGCACTCAAAGATAAGTGTGATTTGTAGAGTGTCTTGTCTAACTGATCTAGATTGGTGCGCGTAAGTCTGATTTTCTCTGAGATAAGAGCTAAGCTAGTTCTAGACAGAATTCGTTTAGCATTATCTCAGATAAAATCAGACTTACGCGCACCGATCTAGATCAGTTAGACAAGACACTCTACAAATCACACTTATCTTTGAGTGCAACAATGTCCACATCGGATTGGGAACATGTAGACAAAATGACTGCCTCTTCAGCTGCCGCTATGTCGACCAAATGTAAGGACAACTTGATTTCCAAATTCAACCGCCTGTCAAAGAGACCGGACCCACACATTGAATAGCTAGACGTTAATAAAATCGTAATTAATCGCAATAACAGTCTATTTCTGAAGGTCTGAAATCCGTTTTAGCTAAAGGACTAAACTTTGCAGTCACACCTAGACACATACCAGTTAATGATATAATTGCTCGAGTAGATGTCGCTCTCAAGGGCCTGAGTCACATCGCTGCAGACTTAGCAAGATCTGAAATCTCTGCAACCCTCAAAAACGCTAAGATGCCAGCTAGCAACATCAGCAAAGATGAGCGTTTTGAATTAGCTCAATTAGAAAAGAGGGATGACATTGTCATCCTCTCAGCCGACAAAGGCAATGCCACTGTCATCATGGACAAAATAGAATACAACAACAAAATTCAAGAACTACTCAACGATGACAGCTATACAAAAATAAAAAGAGACCCCACC